TGTATTGCTGCCTGGTTGTCTGTGAAGATGGTTGCTGTACGGGTCTGATAGGAACATTGTGATTCCAGTCCACTTGGGTTGCGTATTTGGGTAAGCGCCATCTTTATGCCCTGTAATTCTGCTGCATATACAGTGTGGGTAGCTTGAGAGCCAATGCGAACTGCTTGGCGCCCCAGAGGCGAAACTACTGCTGCTCCAACTCCCTGTTCTGTCAAGCTGCCATCTGTGTACACAATGATATCAGCTCTGCTGTGTAAGATGGCATTGTGAGTTGCGAGAGCAGCTTCCCGAGTTTCTGCTATATGGGGTTTCAGGCCTGCCCACCAAGGCGGGGTCACATGTGGGTGTATAATCTCCGGCTTGTCCTGAGAAATTGCGGTTCGTCGCTCCCATCGTTCTAATGGTGATGTTAAAGGATCATGGTCTGGGCTGGTGGCCCATCGCATGCGTCGCTCCCTTGCGTTCCTTGGCGCTGGTCATTGGCCGGAGTGTCATATCTTGCTAAGGGTGGTCATAAGGGGTGTGGTGGCAATTCAGAGGTATGATTCTTTGGCTGTGCGTTCCAATGCAATCATTGGAGGAAGGATGTTGAGACATATCTCTAGAGCAGCTCATGGGGTTGTTCTGAACGCGCCAGCTATCCTGTAGAGGGCCTTGTGTTGGATAGATTCCATGGTTTTCCTAGCAGCATTTTCCGCCGCCTTGAAGCCCCATCCAGCCCGTACGAACCATGTGGAACAGGCAAATGTGATCTGCGGCCATAAGACTGCTGTGTACATTTGGCGGAGATGGGATAGGGTGATTCCCCAGGTTGATCCTGCTATGGAGCAAAGCGCTGCTATCATTTCAGTTGCTTTAACTTGGCGGTGTTCAATTTGTTTCATGCCAGTGAGATGCTGATCTAGCTGGATGCCAAGGTAGCGGAGCGTAGGCACTGGCTTAATCTCCACCCCCTGCACCTTGACTGACGCATCAGTTGAATCTGCTGGTCTAGGAACACCTCTGATCTTCCGCCATAGATGTATCAGGCCGGCTATATATATATATATCGATATATACAGAGCACTGGACTAGGAATGGAGCCTTTGGTATAAGTCCGCTATAACGAGAAAAAATCCCTTCCTCAGTAAATTCAATATGCGAAGAGCGTACAGAATACAAAACTATAGGATTTTAATAAGATATTTAACACCCATCGTAGACAGACTGAAAGAACGACATTATAACCAATAACAGTACGCAAATTCATGGTCGATCATACTGATCAAAACATCGAGCGAGAGCAGCATCTCTAGCTATCTGTTGTACTTGGAGAAAATTATCCTCCGCAGACTAGATGGTCTCCGACTCATTTTCTTTGCAAAGCAGCTCCCCACGCCGTCATCAAATTATTTTCACCATCGGTATGAGAAACTAACCTGATTACAAACTGTGGGAAGCGTATCGGAACTTGACGACTGGAAGCAGAAACAGCATACCATTCATAGAACTCGGCGTGATATCCTCTTTCACGTAGAGACCTTGACTTGGAATGGTGGTCGGGACTAGCCGGCCATACAGTGTTAGCATCCAAATATGCAAATTCTGGCAGGTGACATTCATACCGAAATATGGAGCCAAGGGGTGAATTTCCTTTCCCGAACTCGACGAATTGAGCCGAGCTGTAGTCATCGAAATACCGAGCCATATCCTGAACCCACTCGAATGGGTGCAAAAAGCACTTCTTCCTATACTGCTGCCGTTTCCACCGTGATGGCTCAAGCTGCTCATTGTAAGGGTCTTCACTGAGCTCGCCCTTGTACGGCATGAAGAAGCAGGGCTTAAAAGTAGGTTCGCTGTCCTTGCCCGAGACCATTCGATAAGTGCGAATCTGAATTGCATTGAGATCTTCTTCAGTGTATTGGAGTTTTTCTGTGCTGTCTACTTCCTTTTGGAGATCCACAATGTCACGACGACGCTGGAAGTGCTCGTGCGCTTCGTCGATGCGCGCCGTAGGTTCCGTGGTGGTCATGTTGAGAGATCAGCCAGAAGAGAAGAAGAGGAGATAAGATATGTACGAAAACAATTAAGCTTCTTTGATGATTGTTTTCAGAGTACGGATACAATTGTAGACAATGACCCAAAACGGCGGGCGGTCTGCTACTGTCTAGGCTTATGACCAATAAACGTGCTACATTACAGGCAGAATGGCCCCTTGCCCTAAAGGAGTTTCTAGGGGTAGATGTAGCACGTGACTTGATGATCAAGCGCTTGAGAGTTTTCCTGTCAGATTCTCTCCGTAAGAATATCCTTCTTTTCTGATTCAATCTGCCACTATCGCTGCAAAGCCTTAAAAAGCGCAAGAGTGCTCTGCATTATTCATGTTATGGCGAGGCTGTTCTGGTATGATAACTTTTGTTAAGACCATGATTGCTCCTGTACATATTCAAATCCACTCATTCAGGTATTGATTCGCAGAGGTAAAGTTTGTGGGATCCCGTCTCGCACGAATGCATGAGGCCTTCATCTCCAGTTGGAGATACGGCACCAGAAGAAAGACCAGAAGCGAATTAACTCAAAACAAGAAAGACCCATTTTGACATCATTGATAACATTATCACGATGTATTTAAGGCTTCTGTATATTCTTCTCATTTATCTCTATCATGAACAATTATTCATCTACCCTACCCACCATTGCTTTCCCCAGTTTCAGCGTCTGCACATCGACGCTGTCTGCAACACAACAGAACTATGCATCACTAATCCTGAGCGCGATTTCTCAGTCCAACGCCAAATAGTATTGATGCAACTGAGCAACAATACTAAAAGGCAACGGGCTCTCCAGGTCCCAGCCACAAGCGTTCTCTGCTGCAGCCATGTAACGGAAGCAAAAGGAAATCCAAACGCCAACGAAGGCAAATCCAAAGTATTCAGTAAAGCCTGTTTTTGTTGAATTAATTAGCATCTGCATTTCTCATAAAGAGACATTGAGTTAATAAACTTACGATTTTGCCGCAACCCCACTGATTTGCCCAGGTAAATCACAAAATCCTCCAATGTGATCATGAACGGCTGCATAATATAGAATACGCCCTGATAGAACGCATGCCCCTCACTGCGGACACAAAGACTGCCAACACTATGGATCAAAGCCGAGAAACCAAACGCCGCGTACAGATCAGTGTATCGGCGCCGTAAGGTCCCTCTTTTTGCAAACGTCACATCACACGCAAGTCCGCCCCAGAAATTACACGTTCTCCGCATCATCTGGTGCCAAGCACTTCCCCAGAGACGCCGGACGGACCAGAGGTTACTGGGGAGGAAGCTTCCGAAAAGAGGTGGCCAGTCGTCTGGTTCGAAGATTCCGAGGACTGTAGTTCCGATTGCTGCTAGGTTGTACTGCATGGTGAGCAGGTTGTATATTTGATAGCCGCTCAACCAGCTGATGAGTATCTGGTATTGTAGGGGCATGTCCCAGAAAGATTGGGATTGGACCATGGGCGCTGCGACTGTGCGCCGAAAGTAGGTGATGCCGTCAAGGATTAGAAAGGCAACGATGGAGTCGGTAAGACGCTTGCGAATGAAATGACTGTTTCTTTTGGTGAGTTACATTTGAATAATGGTTTGAAGGAAGTATCTTGACGTACAATTTCCCACGGCCTTGACTAGAATCCGTCGAAACATTTTTGACCTGGACATTCCACCCAATAGCACGCAAGGAAACGAGCAATTCAAACGCCCATCGAGCCTTGGCAAAGATACCTTGAGGCCAGCCCTTGCCCTCATTCTCCTTCTTCGATGCACTTCCGCGGATCTTCCAGAACTCTCGCTGCGTCTCATGACAGAGTGCAAGATCGAGCACACGGATGACCGTAGTTGGGATGGTAAGACCGGCGACATAGTTATCGATTAGGTTGCCCTTGGTATACTGCAGCATTTGCGTAGCCAGCGGCAGCACAACGCCCAGGTACCATGAAACGCGGACCAATCGACTAGTTTGGAGAAACACAACAGCGCAGCTGAGGATGAACACTGGTTCGAGCCATGGTGGATAGGGCTTTCGCTCTGCATCCGGAGGAACGAGAGATGAGAGCGTTTTAGGGAGAGAGGTCAGGGCGGGTAAGTTTATCATCTTGGTGATGCTGGTTGCTGTAATAGGTGTTGTGAAGTTTGTATATACTTGGAGAACGAAGAGGTACTTATACCCAAGATTGGTATAATGATCGTCCTCTATTGCGCCTGTAGCCTGAAGTACTCCACATCTGCGGCGGTTGAGATTTCAATAATTCGATAGATTTACAGGCATTATGAAAGAAGTGTAATCCAAGAAATCATATGTAATACGTTCCATATAGATATGATCTACCCATAAGTACATAATTGCTAATGTATACCAACAATCCCAGAAGTGTCATTCACAGTAATTCTACTCTTTAAATCAACAAGCCCTCTTTCTCCGCCTCCAACAACGGCTCCAAAGACTTAGCCGTATCAATAATACTCTGACCATACGGGATCCAATGCAACCCAACCGCATTCTTCACCTTCGTCGAGTCAAACACCACACCACCCTCGTCGAACGTCCAGTCCTTGTTATAGCGCTGATCCGGATTGCCCTTGAGGATCACACCCCGCCGCTCGGGATATTCCTCACTCAGAATATCCAGAATAGCCTGCTTGGGACCATGTCCCGCGACCACGAGATAACGTTCACCATCCGACTGGGCAGTGTTCTCCGCACACCAGATGTAGATGGCTGCCAGATTGCGCACATCGACATAGGGAGTTGACCCAGCAATTTTGACAATGGAATCCTGGGGTCCGGGCACGTCTTTACCAATGAGGCCGTTGTATACGGGGGCCAGGGTTAGAGGGAGTTTGTCTGCGGTTTCGGGGAGGATAATGGGTGGACCAGTGGCGATGGAGCCGCAGATGACGCTTATGGCGAATGGAGGCTGTTGCATGTCAACGTGAGAAATTGGCATAAAGGGTGAATGGCAAAATAAAATGAATGAAAATAATACCTTCTTGGTATCCCTGAAAGCCCAAACGAGCTTCTCCGCCGCAATCTTCGCACACGGATATGCCTCATAAACGGAGATATTCTCTGCCCCGTCCTCCAAGAGTAAGGGATGAATCTTGTTCCAGCTGTTATCGTCGTAAGTATGCGGAGGCTGCGCACCAGGCGTGATGACTGCCGCCGCAGACGAGGTGAAAACAAAGCTCTCAAGCTGGGAGCCTGCATAAGCCAAAGCTGAGTTCAACAGGTTTTCCGTGCCCTTGACTGTTGGAGTGATGAGTTGCGATGCATGGGTGATGGAGGGACCAATAACAGGCGCAGCCGTATGGATAATTGCAGAGACACCTGTGTCGCTAGTGAGTAGAGGCACAGGAAAGAGCAGGGCTATGGAGCACACCTTTGACGGCTTCATCAAAACCAGATACTTCACAGAGATCCGGCACTTCGGCAATCTCGATTCGGTCTACGTAGGGCTTCCATGGCCCATTGAGCAGACGCGAGGCACGCTCCTTAGAACGACAGGTGCCGCGCAGGCGATAACCGGCGTTCAAAACGGCGGTGGCTATGTTGGACGCAAGGTATCCATTAACGCCGGTGATGAGAATGGTTTTGGTCATGGATAGAGCCATATTGATAACTGTAGGCGGTAAGTGAGCGAATTCTAAGTAATAGATGGTATACCCAATACTACAAGGGATTATTCTTCTATCTTTATATTTATATAAAACTGCTAAAATCTCATGCCATCAGAAACAACCATGTAATCTAAACAGTATTAAACAGTGTCTATTTAGTACAGAACCAGGTGAACTAAGAAATTGGTTCTATATCTGCTTGGCTCGTCTATCGTGCATAGGAATGAATGTAGTATCATGTAGGTAGTTCATATCCACATTGATATGCGGGATACGAAATACTTGTACAAATACGAATAAAGGATTCTAGACATTGATTAGTTTATTCCGTATAAGGGTTATTTTTTATTTATTTATTATTTATTATTTTTATTTTTATTTTTATTTTTTGTTTCTTCTTTTGGCGATAAGCTAAAGGCCCATTCTTTCCACCATGCATCAACCATTGGCCACCATTCCAAATCACAAACGAGTCAATTTATCCACAGAGGTAATTATCCCTCATCTAGACCATTTTGTAGATAGATATAGTATATGGATACATACGGGTGGCTACTATCCAGACAGCCGATTAATTAGAACTAGTTAGAGCTAGATTCCGTGGATCCGTGTTAAGCACGGATCTGTCCCCTTCGCCCTTCACTACGCACGAGCCACTATACAGCGCCTTGCCTTTGGCTGAATCAAGAAATAGTTTTCCATCTCCATGTCACCATCTGTCATGCCATTTGCTAATCTGACACCTTTGGGAAAGGCGCGGTAAAAGTGTGCAATGGTCATGCGGAGCTCTAAGCGGGCCAGATGAAGACCGAGACAGACTAATTAGTTTGTCAGTAATCTCGATATATGCTGCTTTTAGGCTGAGACTTACTTCGGCCACCGGCACCGAACGGCATAAATGCATCTTTCATTTCTTGAGTCGGGTTCTCCCATCGGGAAGGGTCAAACCTAGTAATACCTCGTTAGCTTTGCAATTCGAACACAAAAGGTATACATGGTGCCAACTTTTCTGGCTCCGGAAAGATCTGTGGATCACGATGCATCGTATATGCCTGCGTTGTGACCGTAAGCCCACCGGGAATGTAATGTCCACATAGTCTTTTGCCACCCGCAGGTACAGCACGAGGTAAATCACCAGGGGCAGCGCCGTAAAGACGCAGTGATTCCTCAATAACCTGGCCCATATAAGACAGCTTCTTAAGATCGTCTGCCTTGAATCCATCAGGCAGGCCTCTCACTTCCCTGATCAACCGCTGCTGCACGGCGGGGTGCTGTGATACCACCCAGACGAGATATGTGAGCGTGATGGCCGTCGTGTCGCTGCCGCCAAGAATGTAGGCTTCCGCGTCAGACTCAATTACATCGTGTGAGATTTGGCCGGCGTCATGTGCTTTCAGCTCTCGCGAGAGCAACATTGGCTTATTGCAGTCGGGGTTGGATTTTAGATATTGCCTGTAGCGGTTCAGGAGATTCTCGGCGTATACAGTGCGCCGGGCTGCAGCAGACGTGATGTCTTTGATGAAACTGGAAGGAATAGCGGAAACGACTTTCATGATTAAGGGAATCTCGACGAGTAGCGCGTTGTAAAATGTGACGTTTTTGAGATCAATAGAATACTGGGTTTCCTGAGAAAGATGTCAATAGGCCATTGGTTTCCAATTCGAGGTATTAGAGGCACTTACTTTACCATATTCCAGCATGCGAAAAGACTCGCCAAAGCTCAGTTGACCAATGATATCAGTGGCCATAAAGAAAAACCATTTCAGCAAATCAGCGCTGCCGTCCGTATCCATACGGTCTTGGATCTTGTGGATAGCCAGCTCAACATTTTCCAAGACAACCGGCTCTAGCCCCCGCAGTGAACCCTCTGACAGAGGGTGAGAGAGTAGTCGACGCCGCTCTTGATGCGCCTTAGGATCAACCAGAGAGAAGATGTTGTGCTCACGGGTTGTGGTAAGTTTACTGTACCAGTCAGACTTCCGGAAGCTATTGCCGATGCGATGGATTTCTTTGGTGGTTTGCAAGTCGGAAAGGACAACCTCATTGGGACTGACACGGACAAGAGGGCCTGGACTCTGTTCAGACATTGCCCGATGACACGACAAGCCACGTGGGGTGGGGAGAACAGACCATATTTCTTATTCAGTGAGTCGAGATATTGCATTCTCTGTCCAGTAAGAGTATAGTACTTTAAGATCAGAGTTGTAAATTTAGAACTGAAGGGCCCGGGAAGCGAGCTGAGTTGTCCTGTCAGAGCATTCCATATTGCTCGCTGACCAAGTTAGCATCATTGGCAATATGAACCGACACCGAAGTAAGAAGCTGAGCACTTACTACAATGCTGAGCAGCAGGATAGTCACGGATGATACGATAATTGTATGGGCCATTGCAAAAGAGGCGACAAAAAGCAAAATAAGAATACTCTTTCGTTTATTCAAATGCTGCGGTATATTGGCTGTAGCCTTTATATAAAAATCTACATCTAGCAGAATTATATCTCTTTATCTCTATTATAAATAACGCTTTTTCCAAATTTATTGCGAGATAATAGAACTGGCCAGAAGTTATATTGATTTTATTTCACATGTAAGCTTATTCAGGCTCAGTAGCTTCGTGTTCAGAACGGACCCGGTGATTCAATAAGGAATTATAAACCGCGTACCCTAAAAATTGGTAAACAGATATAAACTTGCATTATCCTATATTTGCTGGGATTTGGACCACCATCTTTCTGCAAGCCTGTGGAAAGATCGACATCATGAATCTATCACTTTCCATGGCGCTACCTGCTTCTACTGCATGGTTTGCAGTATCTTTTATGATTTTGGTGGCTTGGGTGCTCCACCAGCGGTACCAGAGCCAACTGAATCAATTCCCAGGTCCCATCCTTGCATCTCTTTCAGATATCTGGCGATTCGGATACTCGCTGTACAACAGAAATGGTGTTCCCTTGGCTGCTTTGCACAGAAAATATGGCCCAGTGGTGCGTCTGGGACCGCGCATGTTATCGTTTTCCACCCCGGAAGCCATACATGATATTTACGGACCCAAAAACAAACTCAAAAAGGTATACATATGGAACCTACATCTATCTGCATGAAATAATACGCTCATACGGGGTTAAGTCGGAATTCTACAGTGTCATATCTCCCGTTCATGCCGGAGTCATTAGCCAAACTCTCTTTTCAAATCTAGATCAGAATTCCCATGCTAGTCATCGACGAGCGGTTAACTCGGCTTTCTCCATGAGCTCCGTTCTCTGTTACGAGTCATATCTTGATAAAACTATCGGATTGTTTTTCAACAAACTTGACGAGATTTCTGGGAAGACCGGAAAACAAGGATGGATTGACCTCCCATGCTTGTTCCAATACTATGCATTCGACACCATCGGAATGCTCGCCTATGGAAAGCGGTATGGCTTCATTGAACAGAATTCTGATATCAACGGAATTATCAAGTCGACGCGGATGATACTCGATTACACTTCATACGTAAGATTGACTTGGGGCTGACAAGAGGATGCTACTAACACTGCTCCCAGGTTGGCAATTACCCGCTGCTAGACAAAGCAACAATCAAGAACCCATTTATGCTGTGGCTGGGCCGAATGGGCCTTGTCCAGATGACCACGCCGTTGATTCCGTTCGCGATAAACTCGCAGGCTGGACGACTCGCAGAGATGCGAGAGAACCCCGAGCGCAAGAATACTAACCGGGATATCCTTGACAGCTATCTTGCATTGCATAGGGCTAAGCCGGATGTTGTAACCAATGACATGGTACTAGAACTGGGCGTGATGCTGGGGTTTGCTGGGTCGGAATCGACGTGAGTACCTCCAATTACCACCCTCGCTTTTTCTTTCCTTTTTCCTACGTACTAAGTAATGTAACTAGTGGAGTTGCCCTGAGTGCGTTTCTTTATCATGTCACACGTCATTCAGATGTTTACCGCCGTGTCCGCAACGAGCTGGCATCCCATATCGACGTCAATACAAGCCATGTCTCGTACACAAAGGCCCAAAGCATGCCATACTTTGATGCCTGCGTGAAAGAGTCTTTCCGAATCCATCCCCCCAGCGGCTTCGTGATGGAGCGTGTTGCTCCTCCGCAGGGGGTGGAGATTGCCGGATACAAAGTTCCTGGTAATGTAATTGTTGGCTGCAATCCACACGCTGTACATCGTGACAAGGCTACGTTTGGAGAGGATGCAGATATGTATCGTCCTGAGCGATGGCTCGAGGCTAGCGATGCGAAAGCGCGCGAGATGTGGAAGGGAATGCTGCATTTTGGTAGCGGATCACATACTTGCTTGGGGCGGCATATTAGCGTGATGGAGGTGTATAAACTGGGTGCGTCGTTGTTGCATAACTTCAAGGTATTTTCTCGCATCATTGCCTGTTTTGTGTGCCTATACTAACAATTGTGAACAGATTACCCTGGACCAGCCGGAGAAGGACTGCAAGATTACAGTGGGGCAGTTTGTACGGTTGAACTATCGGGCACGAGTGCAACGATTGCCTAGGGAGTAGCGAAAACGAAGGAACCACTCGGTTGAACTTATATATATGATCATTTTGAGTATCTATTTGAACTGGTAGAATCAATCATAATCGTTACTATCATAATTAGACCAATTTTACCCAATGAAGAACCCAATACAACCACGGCATCATAGCCCAAAGAAGCCCACGCATCATACTTATTGGTGATGTCCAATTAATCCGGGTCTTGCCCGTGGGCAAAACGCTTACGCATTTCCAATCGTATTTATCATTGAAGTTCGCGGCTTCGATAAACCCTGCAGCCAGATCCGCATAGCTTAAGAAGGTGTGCTCCCGCTCTGTCGACAGTGTGTGACCGCAGGGTGCATCATGGACAAGCCCACCGGGCTGAATGAATGTCACCGTCAGCCAGGTCCGATGAAGCCGATAGTACTTCTCTGCTTTTTCGAGATCGGCATATACGTGGCTAAAGGAAGTGTAAAGCAGCTTTCGCACTACCCTAGGCGTCTCGCGGGATAATTTGTCGTTGATGACTGCAGAGCTCATAACAATGATACGCGGGAGATTAACGGTTGGATCTGAAAGACGCAGCCTGAAGAGCGCCGCTACGACTGCATGTGCGGTGTCGAGCCCAATCGAGCAGCCGGGAACGTTTTCATTCGTGGCGACGCATGAGAAGACTGCGCTGCAGGGATATGCAATGCAAGATGCCACCTTCGGAATGTCGGAGATATCGCCCTCATGGATCTTCACATTTTGCTTAGCTGCAATCGATGGATTCTGGCCCAACAGCTTCTTGCGCGAGCGGACGAGGACGTGGATGGTGGTCTCGGGGCTCTGGAGAAGGGTGGAGAGGATGACTTGACCGGTGTTGCCGGTAGCTCCAAGAATAGCGTACATGGGCATAGCATACGTTCGGTGAGCTTGAATTAGATGAAGCAGCTTGGGGTCTCAACTATTTCCTTTATCGGTCTCGCGTTTATATAACAACTATCATGCGCAATTAGTTCATGACGTCTGCTTAACATAAATTATACCATTCGCTCTAGACAGCCGTAAGAGATCTGCAGCAGAAAAAAAGTACAATGGGCTTTCGTGGCTGGCTGACAAGAAAGTAAGCCCAAGCAAGGATAAGAAAATGTCAGCTTCGTGCTTAGCACGGACACGAGACTAGAGCTGAATACGAAGTGAGATATCAGCAAAGAAATAAGAGACTATCATCACCTTCGATCTTTCCAGCACAGAGAGTTTATTGTTCGTTAACACGCTATTGTCGATTATGTCTCGGAAGATCAACAACACCTTCGATGAGTGCTTCTGGGGGGATTATCTGGAAAGCCAAGGTTCACGATTACCTCCATTACCGGATACCGAGCGCATCACTCCACGAGTTGTACGTGTACTCGCAGGTAATCCTGGTGGGGTAAGTCTGCTTATATACAAAGTTGGCTCAATGACTTGGTTACTGATGGCTATACACAGTTCCAACTGCAGGGTACCAACACGTACCTAGTGGGCAGTGGTCGCGAGAAGATCCTCATTGATACCGGTCAAGGCCTGCCGATATGGATCGATCATATTGCCCGGATCGTGTCCGAGAATGACCTGAAGATCGTGGCTGCATTGATCACCCACTGGCATGGCGATCATACTGGTGGTGTACCTAATCTACTGGTTCATTTTCCGCATCTATCGTCTGCTATATACAAGAACCAGCCAGACCGTGGCCAGCAGGACATTCTTGACGGACAAGTCTTCCAAGTAGAGGGAGCCACAGTACGTGCGTTGCACACACCAGGTCATGCTGTCGACCACATGTGCTTTGTACTGGAAGAAGAACAGGCGATATTTACCGGCGATAACGTGCTTGGTCATGGGTTTACGGTTGTGGAGGATCTCGGGGTGTATACGACGAGTCTCGATATTATGCTAGACCAAGGGTGCCAGATAGGATATCCAGCACATGGCGTCGTGATCACCGATATGCCATCGAAGATGGCAGAATATAGGGATCAAAGATTACGACGAGAGCGGCAGGTCATCTCTGCCCTGCGGGAAAGTCGACAGAAGAATACCGGACGAGGCAGTATTACGGTGCAGGAAGTGGTGCGATCAGTGCATGGCACCGTCCCCGAGGAAGCCAGTAAGAAGGCATTGGAGCCATTCATGCAGGAGGTACTTTTGAAGCTGGCGGATGATCGTAAAGTTGCTTTTGAGCTACAGGGAGGAGTAAAGCGGTGGTTTATTGTTGGTAATCGAGTTTGATGATATCATTTCTGTACATCCATTGCTTTTCTGCACCAAATTTATTCTGCATGACTATCGAATAATATAGTATCCGTTTTCGTTAGGGCTCATGCTGCTGGAAAACTGTACAGCCTATACATATATGCAAAATGCGAGCCAGTATCTGTGCTTTTATCAAAATCCGTCGTCCCAATTAGTGCATTAGAGCGATGCAGGTCCAACATTGAGCCAGTAGTATATACTGGCCCATCGCCCAGCTAGACTCCAATAGTTCATTCCATTAGATCCAGCTGAGCTCTTCCTTGCATCATCTTCCCCTCCGACCTATTTCAAATCTATCAGCTTCACAAAAGTGCCGAAATCGGCAAAACATCAGCTTCTTCAGTATAGCTGACCCTACAGAGTTGGATATATAACCATTCCCATGCTACCTCAAGTTCAAGCAAATCAATCTTCTCATTAATTTCTAGTTCATTTTCATTCCTCGAGGATTCAACATTCACCGTCGAAAATGGATACTCCCTCGAGCTCGGCAGACGTGGTCAATGACCATCACTACAGACTGGTCTACTTTAGCAATGAGCTGCCATCTGACGAGCAGATTAGCGCTCACCTGCGCCGTCTCCAAGCCTTGAGCAAGGACAGACGATACCCAATTCTGAAGATTTTCCTGGATGATGCTACAGATGTGCTTCGGGAGGAACTGCGGAAGTTGCCTTCCAATCTTCTTTCCCTGATCGCCCCATTTGAAAGTATTATCGACTTTGCGTACCAGTTTGGACTGCGTATCGGGCCATTCGGGGGATCTACCGAGGGTGTCTTCACGTGTTTGATCCAGCTGGGCACATATATCAGGTATGTCCTCGTTTCCAGCATGACCGCTTCAGTTACTAACTGGCTACTAGCTACCATGAGTGCCCTACGAACGACCCTCTCACCTCTCCTGATGGAACCCTTGTGGCTCTCGGGTCCGGATTGCTGACTGCTGTGGCTGTCTCATTTGCCTCTCGCTTGTCGGATCTTGTGAAACTCGGTGCTGAGGCAATCCGCATTGCTTTTCGGATGGGTCTTCGTGTCGACCAGGTTTCGCAGAGACTCGAGTCTCGTCGAGCCGAGGGACCAACAGAGAGCTGGGCATATGTGTTCTCGGAGTTGTCGGAGGATGAGGTGCGGAAGGAACTGGCGAGCATGAATGCGTCTCTGGTGAGTGTGCCTAGCAACATGTCTACTTCTACTAACACCGCTAGAACTTCCCAACGCCGAGCCAAATCTTCCTTAGCGCCGTTAGCCCCGGATCCGTCACCATCAGTGGCCCTCCCTCGCGCCTTAAGACCCTTGTGCGCTCCTCCGAGCTGCTACGCTATGCCAAATGGGCTCCTTTGCCCATCTTTGCCGGTTTTTGCCACACAGCCCACGTTTACACCCGCGCTGATGCTGAAGCCATCGTGAGCGCCACGAAGCTCCCAACCAACTCACCTTACGTTATTCACACGCCTCTGCTCTCGACTAGGGACGGACAACCCTTTGCCGCACAAACGCCCGCCCGGCTCTTTGAGGATGTTATATTCGAGCTGCTCACGGGGACTATTCGCTGGGATACAGTTATAGCGACCCTTCATGACCGCGTGGCGCTTCAACTCGTGCCTGAAGTCTCCGTAAAGGCTTTGGGCATGCCTAATGCTCTCAAGAGCTTTAATGAGGCTGTTCAGGCCCATGCGGACCCAGTCCGAGTTATCACGGAGGATGTTCTAGCGCAAAGCCTCGCTACTCCTCTACCTGAGCGCGCCCCTCGTGACCCCAAAGACTCCAAGATTGCGATTGTTGGAATGAGCTGTCGCCTCCCGGGGGGTGCTGTATCCAACCAGAGCTTCTGGGATCTGCTCGAGAAGGGGCTCGACGTCCATCGACGCATCCCCGCGGACCGATTCGATGTCGACACACACTGGGATCCTACCGGACAGAACCCGAATGCCAGTAAGACACCATTCGGGTGCTTTATTGATGATCCGGCCCTCTTCGATGCCGGTTTTTTCAACATGTCGCCCCGCGAGGCGGAGCAGACGGACCCTATGCACCGCTTAGCCCTCGTTACTGCTCACGAAGCCCTCGAGCAGGCTGGTTTCGTCCCCAACCGCACGCCCTCGACTAATCTTGAGCGTGTTGGTGTCTTCTATGGTCAGGCAAGTGATGACTACCGTGAAGTCAACGCAGGCCAGGAGATCGGGACCTACTTCATTCCCGGCGGGAACAGGGCTTTTGCACCCGGGCGGATCAACTACTTCTACAAGTTCGGTGGTCCCAGTTTCAGTTGCGACACCGCGTGCTCGTCCAGTCTGGCTACTGTCCAGATTGCCTGCACAACGCTGTGGAGCGGTGATGCCGATATGGTTATCGCGGGGGGCGTCAACGTCCTCACAAACTCGGACGGTTTTGCCGGTCTTTGCAATGGCCATTTCCTCACGCAGACCGGTAACTGCAAGACATGGGATGCTAGTGCTGATGGATACTGTCGTGCAGACGGTATCGGCTCGGTTGTCATGAAGCGTCTTGAGGATGCCATTGCAGACAACGACAACATCCTCGCCACCGTGCTGTCAGCGGCCACAAATCAATCCGCTAAAGCAGTGTCGATTACTCACCCCCATGCTGGCGCCCAGGCGAGTCTCTACAAGCGTGTCATGGACCGCGCTGGCGTTGATCCGCTTGATGTCAGCTATGTCGAGCTGCACGGTACCGGCACGCAAGCTGGCGATGCAACGGAGATGGAGTCCGTCACGGAGGTGTTTGCGCCTATGGGCCCTCGTCGCCGCACCGAGCCGCTGCATATCGGTGCTGTCAAGTCGAATATCGGCCACGGGGAGGCGGCGGCAGGTATCGCGGCCCTGATCAAGGTGCTGCTAATGTACCGGAAGCGGTCTATTCCTCCGCATACGGGTATCAAGACGGAGCTGAACCCGGCGCTGAAGAAGCTCCTTGACAAAAAGCGCAACATCCATATCGCTCTTGAGCAGACGCCTTGGACTCCTTTATACAACACGCGGTATGCAGTGGTCAACAACTTCAGTGCTGCCGGAGGCAACACAACCATGCTTCTCGAGGAGGCACCGGTCAAGGAGATCCAGGAGGATGGTGACTATCGTGAGAAGCACGCCGTGGCTGTGTCTGCCAAGAGCAAAGTGTCGCTGAAAGGAAACCTCGAGGCACTCCTGGCATATCTCGAGGAAAACCCCGAGACCTTACTGAGCGACCTCGCATACACCACCTCTGCTCGTCGCATGCACTACAACCATCGCATTGCCTTCTCGGCCTCCTCCATCGACCAGGTGAAGAAACAACTGCGGTCTCACATCGACTCCGAGGAGCAGATTCGCCCGGTCCCCTCAAGCCCGCCAGCCGTGGCCTTCGCTTTCACCGGTCAAGGTGCATTCTACCCCGGCATGGGTGCCCAGCTCTACCGCAGCGTCCCATCTTTCCGGGACCACCTCACGAGCCTTGACGGCCTCTGCCAGCAGCACGGCTTTCCATCGATCCTTCCGGTCATCGAGAGTGCAGGCGACGAGGCACAGGAAGAACCTGCCCCCATCGTCACCCAGCTCACCATCACCTGTCTCGAGATCGCCCTGGCCAAGTACTGGGCCTCGCTGGGTATTACACCCAGC